CAAGGCCAATGTGGATAGTTACTACCTTCATCTCCATGGGAATTAATACAGGCGTGATCAGATTCTACAGTTGAGTTGTGATCAAAAAATTAATTTATTGATAATAAATATATACATGTATAAATGGCAATTTAAAAAGCAACAAATTATGATAAATTACCTTGTTGGCTAATTGTTTCCTCAAATTTTTTAATAAATTCTGCAAATTTATTAAATTTATTCATTTTTATTTATATAGTAATAAAGATTTCTGACGATTTAGAGTTTCGTTCGTGTAATTAATTTTAGAAAATTTTTAAATCCCGACCAAGTCTTTTTTATAAAGAATCTTTATCTACGAATTTAATAAGAACAAATAATTGATTTTAATTTCTTATTGTTAAAGAATCAACTAAGTCTTTTTTAAAGCATAAAGAAAAAATTTTATCTACACTCCACCTGCCATAAGTATTGGCAATTTTGCAGATCGTTGGAAATAATTGAACAAAGTGAAATAAAAATAACTCAAAATTTTTTATTATCACAATCACTTTTGTGTATTAAGCAAAAATCAATTTTCATAATGATTTCCCATAACATACTTGAAATTTATAATGTTTTGTTTACAATTAATAATTTTATTAGCTTTAAAAGCCAAAGTAAAATTTTTTTGAAATTTTCAAAAAATTATGTAATGATTCATTATATGACTATTGAGATTTTAAATTAAACATAAAATATTTATATCATTTTTTCATTCAATAATTAAACCCAATTGTCAAGTTTTAACACATCTTAACTGCATAATAAAAATGTGCATCATGTTTTGAAATATATATATTAATATATATATGTAAATAGAGATGCGATCCGTGGGATGGTCAATCCGGATATCCGCAAAACCATCCGGATGGACGGATGGCTTTTTTAAAGTGCTAACGGATTGCGGATTGAAATTTTAGAAAATAGTAATAGTAATAGGATATCTGGATCATGTGAATAAAAAAAATTTTTTATGTACTAGTACAAATAATGTAACATCAAAAAAAAAAAAATTTAAAATATAATACTTTTTATCATCTTTATCTAATTCATTTTTTGATGCCGTTGCTTCTTTACTAGTTTGTAAGATTACTTACAATGAATAATGATAATAACGAATATAATTACAATGGCAATGATAATGGTAATGATAATGAGAGTGAACTTACCTATATAGATTCGGAAGAAGAGTTGGATGGAAATGTATTAAATGTAATTTCTAATGAACAGACTAAAATTACTAAACACAAACTAAAAAAGGTACCATTAAAAAAAAGTTGGGTGTGGAATTGGTTTGCAGAAATAAATTTACCTAGTGGTAAAAAAGGTTCAGAATGCCAAGTACCAATTACAACTGAAAAGACTTGTAAAAAACGTTATGTAACAGATCCACAGGAAATTTAATTAAACGAATTTTGTTTTTAAAAGAAATGCAAGTTGTGTTGAATGTATTCACCCACTGAATTAACTTTATAATAAATATAAATGAATTGTCATGAATTATTAGCATTACTACACTTTTTGTAACATTTTACACTAATATTGCTGAATTATCCATTCAAACCGCGGATGATCCGTACAATCCGGATGATCCGTTCAATTTCACGGATGATCCGGATAATCCGTTTGAATCCGACGGATGTATTTTTTGAGCAATTAACGGATGACGGATTGATTTTTTGAGATAAATGACGGATATCCGCGGATCGCATCTCTATATGTAAAGAGTGGTCAAATATTTTATTGAGAAATAAAAAAAATTAAAAATGTGAAATTTTTGGGTTATCAATTTTAGTATAATTAATTGGATAGCCTTTAGATTTTTTTACAGTATCTATTCTCCTAGGCACACTATCAACTAAATTTGTCAATGTCTCTATGTCAATTGGGTACCATTCTTCTTCCAGGGTAGCAAAACAATCATCTTTATTTCTAGGAACATTCTCACATTTTCTAACTCTCCTTCCAACAGTTTCTTCTTTATTATGTTTTTCTAT